TGTGTGTGTGTGTGTGTGTGTGTGTGTGTTCAGTCGTGTCTGACTCTTTGCAACCTCATGGGCTATAGCCCACCAGCTCCTCTGTCCATAAGATTCTCCAGGCAAGAATACTGGAGTGAGTAGCCATTTTCTTTTCCAGGAGATCTTCCTGAGCCTGGGATTGAACCTGTGTCTCTTGCATCTCCTGCGTGGACAGGTGGATTCTTTACCACTAGCGCCACCTGGAGGGCCCTTGTCATTCTCCCGTTTTGTTTACTGCCTTCCCTACTATTTCTAGTCCATCCCCGATGGCCCATGTCAGAACGCTTCTTGAAATCATCGTGCATTTCCTGGAGACTTTTTCAAGTCAGGAGCCTTTCTGAGTGTACTTTGAAAGCAGAGTGACTAGTACAAAGGTTTCTAATTTGTGGCAAAATGCAGGAGAGGTGAGACTCCTCCCAAAAGGCTAGTCTCAAATCCAGGGGCATCTGAATTTGGAACCAAGCAGCTAACAGATCTTCCCTCACTGAATCCAGGCAGAAGCCCACCCACCCTTGTTAAGCTCAGCTACCACGTGATTGTACCAACTGGGTGGGGGGGGCGGGGTGGAAAGACTATGGACACTGGGTGTATTTCCCCCTCATTGTGGTCATCTGCTTACCAAGCTAAATGAGAGCCAGTCACAGAGGATGACGGAGACACAGGACCACAACCAGGACCAGTACAATAAGCATATAGTTTGTGGGCAAACACACCCTTCCATTAACTTCTCCCACATCCCTGCAAACAAATCCTGGTCCTGGAAACAATATCAATTCTCTGCACACATTAGAGCAATGGTTCTCAAACATTTTACTGCGTCCCAGGTGGCTCAGTGGTAAAGAATCTGCCTGCCAATGAAGGAGACACAGGAGACAGCGGTTTGATCCCTGGGTCAGGAAGATCTCCTGGAGAAGGGCACAGCATGCAACCCACTCCAGTATTTTTGCCTGGAGATTTCCACGGACAGAGGAGCATGGTGGGCAACAGTCCGTGGGGTCGATAAGAGTCAAAATCAACTTAGCAACCTAGCACGCACCCTCTCAAACATTTTAATGGGCATCGGAATCACCTGGAGGATTATTTGAATTGAAAAGTAGAGGGATCCACCCAGTACCTGTGTTTTATTTTTTTTTTAATTTTTTTTTCTGTGTTTTAATTAGTTCCGCAGTTGATTCTGAGGCCCACCAACACTAACGTTTGAGACTTGATTTCCTCTCTCCCTATACTGACTCTTAAGAAAGAAGTCCCTGTGTGAAGGTTTCTCCTAAGGACAGGGGCATGTGCACCTTGAATGGAGAGCAATCTGCATAAATTATTTGGAATTTATTTCTACAGGTTTGTCTATTCTCTCCCATTTATTTATTCATTCAATTACCTATTATATTTCATTTATAATGTGTTCAAGCTGGTTTTAGAAAAGGCAGAGGAACCAGAGATCAAATTGCCAACATCCACTGGATCATCGAAACAGCAAGAGAGTTCCAGAAAAAACATCTAGTTCTGCTTTATTGACTATGCCGAAGACTTTGACTGTGTGGATCACAATAAACTGTGGAAAATTCTGAAAGAGATGGGAATACCAGACCACCTGACCTGCCTCTTGAGAAACCTGTATGCAGGTCAGGAAGCAACAGTTAGAACTGGACATGGAACAACAGACTGGTTCCAAATAGGAAAAGGAGTACGTCAAGGCTGTATATTGTCACCCTGCTTATTTAACTTATATGCAGAGTACATCATGAGAAACGCTGGGCTGGAAGAAGCACAAGCTGGAATCAAGATTGCCGGGAGAAATATCAATAACCTCAGATATGCAGATGACACCACCCTTATGGCAGAAAGTGAAGAAGAACTAAAGAGCCTCTTGATGAAAGTGAAAGAGGAAAGTGAAAAAGTTGGCTTAAAGCTCAACATTCAGAAAACTAAGATCATGGCATCTGGTCCCATCACTTCATGGGAAATAGATGGGGAAACAGTGGAAACAGTGTCAGACTTTATTTTTGGGGGCTCCAAAATCACTGCAGATGGTGATTGCAGCCATGAAATTAAAAGACGCTTACTCCTTGGAAGGAAAGTTATGACCAACCTAGACAGCATATTAAAAAGCAGAGACATTACTTTGCCAACAAAGGTCTGTCTAGTCAAGGCTATGGTTTTTCCAGTAATGATGTATGGATGTGAGAGTTAGACTATAAAGAAAGCTGAGTGCTGAAGAATTGATGCTTCTGTACTGTGGTGTTTGAGAAGACTCTTGAACATCAATTGGACTGCAAGGAGATCCAACCAGTCCATCCTGAAGGAGATCAGTCCTGGGTGTTCATTGGAAGGACTGATGCTGAAGCTGAAACTCCAGTACTTTGGCCACCTGATGCGAAGAACTGACTCATTGGGAAAGACCCTGATGCTGGGAAAGATTGAGGGCAGGAGGAGAAGGGGACGACAGAGGATGAGATGGTTGGATGGCATCACCAACTCGATGGACAAGGGTTTGGGTGGACTCTGGGAGTTGATGACGGACAGGGAGGCCTGGCGTGCTGCAGTTCATGGGTTTTCAGAGTCTGACACAACTGAGCGACTGAACTGAGCTGAACTGAACAATGATGTATATATACAATTTATTATATGATATAGTTATTTTATATTTTGAGTTATCTATTACTACTTTATTTTGTTGCTCATATTGTTTTACCTTTACTGTTTCATTTCAATTGCCTTCTGTATACACTTGACATATACTTGTTGCAGGGTTTTATTTTGTGCTTCCTTAGTTCCTGGTAGTATAAGATGCTTTAGCTTCATCTTGGATTTTTCCTGCTTCAATACTAGAGTCAACTGCTTTTTTTAAGGAGCCCTGACTCCTTTATTGGAGAATGAACAGCTGGGTGCTAGATGTGATTGTTGCTACAGGCATGCTGTTGTTTCTAGCCCCTCTCAGTAGACAGAGTAAGATAATATATGTATATATACTAGCTCATATGTACAAACACATTCATATCATTTTCTCCCCCTCTGTATTTGTATTAAGCTACGCATGAGTTCATGTTGACATCTCCAGTGTCGTTGTCACATGGTTGGTTTATTTTAGCCCCTCCCCATCACTTATGCATAACCTCCTTTTCCAATAGCGAGCATCCTGGCTCCTGCCATCTGCCACCCATTTACTTATCTGTTTAATCCCAGTATATGTTTACAGTAGCATCCGAGTTGTTCACCTGAACCCCTAGGAAAAGCAGTTCTATCAGCTAGAGGATAGTGATTATGAATATTTCCTTTTGGCTTTATTCTTATTATCCCTACTCATTTTATTTTTAAATATTTGTCTTAGTTGCGGTGTGCAGAATCTTCACTGAGTCATGCAGGATCTTTTGTTGCAGCATGTGTGTTCAGTTGCCCTGTGGTATGTAGGATCTTGTTTTTTTGACCCAGTTCAAACCAACATCCCCTACATTGCAAGGCAGATTCTTAACCATTGGACCACCGAGGAAGTGAGCCACCAAGGACCACCTTAAGGAACTCTTTTTTAAAAAAATGTATCTAGTGTGAAACTAGGGCATGTGGAACTTCCCCAACCAGGGATTGAACCCGCGCCCCCTACAGCAGACGCTCAGAATCTTAACCACTGGACTTGCCAGGAAAGTCCCTATCTACTCATTTTAGAAGCTGCTTATGTCAATGCTTTACCCCCTCCCCCTTCAATGAGGTATGTCACACATTTGTACAACAGATTCTTTGGTCTCTGCATTCTGTCTTGGCAGTTGTCCAGTCTCCCAACTGATATATTTTTTAATTTGCATTCTTTAAGGTTCATTCTTTGTGCTGTAAAGTCCTGTGGGTTTTGGCAAATACACAGTGTCATGACCCACCAACGCAATTTTGTGCAGAATAATTCATGACCATAAAAAAACCCCCAGTGCTTCCCCTATTTAACTTTTTCTCCTCCCCAAATTCCTGGCAGCTTCTGATCTATTTTCTCTATACAATTTTGCCTTTTCTAGGATACCATATACACAGAATCATACAGAGTGTAGCCTTGTCAGACTGGTTTCTTACACTTAGTAAAAAATTTAAGATTCATTCATTGTGTCACAACCACAGTGTTTTTATAACAAAAAGCATGTATATTGTTGTCATATTATTTCCTCTACAAACCAGAATGTTCAGTAAGAGTCTGCAGAAGCCAATGAGGAAGTGAAAGAAAGTAGGTTTACATAGTTGGCCACAGAGGCAGAACGTACTAGTTACAATTATTGTTTGTTAAAATAACTTTTATGAAAAATGTTACCGGTAATGCAAATTTCATAAAGCACACATTAGGTGTTTCTAGTACCAAATGCATATATACTCCTGAAATCACAGGGAGATATCCTTCATTTCAAGAAAAGTTTTGTTAGAAAAAAGTCAGATTAATAAGGGTGTACATTAAGAGTCCTCATTTTCCAGGAGAACTCTAACATTTCTTGTAAAATATTCAGATTTCTCTGAAATTTTAACCTGTTTGATTTGTTTAACAACTGAGTTTATAAATTTGAAAACACCTGTTTAAAGCAAAGTGTACTCAATGGCCCAAAGCTCAGGCATTGAGCTACCTAAACTCCAAATGGATTTCAGAAATCATTTGCCGAATCCGGGACCCCACGGTCTCTGGGCCACCTTGACCTTCCCTGTTGGAGGAGAAGGGAAATGAAAAGATGGTGGTCATGGTGAAGGCATGCTGGGATGAATCTCCAGAGAAAAGGCCCACTTTCTGTTCCATCAAGAAGATTTTACGGGAAGCGAGTCCCAGAGTGTGAGTTAGAAGTCTAGCAGAGGTTTTCTCCTAATTATTTAACCATTAGAATTTTAAAGCTCTGGGACTGCGATTGATTCTGTGTGCCTCCCTCCCTCCCTCCTCCTATTTCCTCCCTCCTCCCGGCTCCCTCCTCCCTCCCTCCCTTCCTTTTCTTCCTTCATCATATACTCATTCAGGACCTGCAGTCTAGTGGTAAATTCTCTCTTTATTTCATAAATGATGTAAACATGGATCAGACTTTCATTGTCCTCCTTTTTCCACCCCAGATACTGCCTATCAATCAAGACTCTTATTCCCAAGGAGTTCTGATATGACCTCAGAATCTTTTTCAAGCCAGCATTCCAGGGGTTATGACTCATTCATTGGGACTGGATGGTAGGATAAAAAAATTATCCACCAAACTTAGAGTAGATTATTGACTTTAATTATTCATGCCTCTTGAGTAATTTTCTCAGTAGTGGCTTCACATGAGGGTCACTGTGTGATCTTTTGAATGTCAGAAGGCACAACTTTTGAGAAGCAGCTTGAGTTGATAGACGCCTGGGTGGGAGTCGGGCATCGACTCCTAATTTGGCCATTCCACTATGTGTTCTTAACAGAACAGCTCCATGTTCTGCATTTTCCACATCAAAATAGTTTTAAATAGTAGGTCTCAGGTCAGTGAATACTTTTTACTTAGAAAATAGGGTGAATGTTAAGGCGAGTGTATTCCCTATAAAAGCCTCAGTCTCCTTATGTGAAAGATGGAAAATCTGATTTCTTTGAAGATGCCTCTAAAACAAGAGCCTATGGGATCTAGAAACGCCCTTGATATCTGTCACCAGAAAAGAAAACATCTGATGTTGCCATCGTAAGAGAAAAGAACAACTCCTCCTGAAACCTACATTTCCGCATAACCATGACAACGGCATGAAACATGTAGGGAAGAGGGGCGTGGGAGGGCAGCGAAGGCTACTGTTTGTTCAGTGCCCTCTGGTAGCAGACACAGCCCTGGTACTCACTGCCTCTCTGAATTTTCTGAAGGACCCTGTGAAGTATGTATTATTATCCTCATTTCTCAGATGAAGAAACTGAGGCTCCAAAGACTGATGGGGGCAGTTCAAGATCACAGGGCTGGTAAAGGATGGACTGTCCTGCCAGATGCCTATGGCCAGGGTCCTTTCACTGCTGCCCACTGGCAATGCTTGAGTGTGAAAGCTTAAGGGCACGACATTTTGTCTTGGAATGTATACTTGAATGTTGTGTTCCACTGTGGCCCTAAAGTTCTTGGACAAAGATGTAAATCTCTGAGTTCTTTTAAAGCCGCGTGAGTGTACTAGACAGTGTGATGAGCAAGCTGGAAGTGTACGCCAATCACATGGAGGAGGTGGTGGAAGAGAGGACCAACCAACTGATGGCCGAGAAGAGGAAAGTGGATCAGCTTTTATCCACAATGCTGCCCAGGTAATCCAAAGTTCCTGGGGCCTTGACAAAAGAACCAGGAAGCAACAGCATTGCTATTTAAGGAGGCCCCACATGGAGAGAAAATTTCCTTTGTTCTTTTCCTAAGAGGATGTTAGGCTCTTCTAAAATGGGTCAAGCATTCTATGTGTAATTTGGTACATCTTGTAAAGCGAGACAGAGGCAAATGCCCTCCAATCCACAGGAATCACAGAATACAGATCTGTAAAGGATGGAATATAGTGGATGCAGTGATAGGAGGCGACCACTAGAGGGTGCCCTAGCTTCATGAGCCCAATACTCTCGGTCTGTTCAGATTACGGTTCAGTCGCTGAGTCGTGTCCCACTCTTTGGGATCCCAGGGACTGCAGCATGCCAGGCTTCCCTGTCCTTCACTATCAGATTATTTATATTATACGTCTGTCCAAATACTTTTCACCGCATGCACTGCTAACTTCAGATTCAAAACTTGCTTCATTTTCGGCTCTGTTATCACCTGGGCACACCCTGAACGCTTGACAGAGCATCTGCTCTTAAAATTCCTGTAATTCTGTGTGTCTTGACAAAGAAAGGGGGTTGGCGATTTGAATGTGTTAATGTGAGATTGGTTGATAGAAATAAAAATGTTAATTTATGAATTGATGAGTGTAGTTGTGGACTGTAGCTGTTTCCACATCTGCAGGCTGAGTCTTTCTAATCAACTCTATAACCGGTAGGAGAAAAGGCAGTTCCCTCAGGGAGAAAATCTTTTTGAAAAGGCATTTATGTGACCTGCTCCTCACTCTTCCCCGAATTTATACCTACCAATTAAAATATCTCTTTAGAGAAAATGCAGGCTGAGAGATGGGTGTCAGAAAATTCCCTCTAGATGATGGATTCTTGTTAACCAAAAATCTAATGCACTGAAGCAAAAAAGATCTACCAGGGAGACTTTGTAGGGATGTATAGGAGATAATATGAATAGGATACTATTCAAAAACGTCCTTATTCTCTGTTTTCAGCTTCACTGGAGAACAACTTGTAGCAGGAATGTCCGTGGAACCAGAGCATTTTGAGTCGGTGACAATCTTTCTCTCTGACATTGTTGGATTCACAAAACTCTGCTCTCTCGGCTCCCCCCTGTGAAGCTCCTTACTGACCGGTACAGTGTATTTGCTCACATCATTAAAACTCATGACGTGTATAAGGTGAGACACCTGGTTCCCGGGTCGTGGGGGTGCACATGATCCTTGTAGCTGTCCCCCCCTGGGCGTGAATGGAGATGAATCCAGCCCAAGACATCAGTCAGGAGGAAGGCTCTATTTTAGGCTGGCAGTCTATCTCAATTCATGGCAGAAACTCAATATTTGATTCCTGTTTGTTTTCTTGGAGAAGGGCTTGATTCATCACAGGTGTAGGTGCTTGTCAAGAATCATCAGCTGTTCCCTCTGTTCCTTTCCATTATTTTATCTCACAGTAAACACATTTCTAAAACAGGCATTGACCTTCTACTGGCTAATTCCTCCAGTTCCCTCCTGAATATATATTTTTTTCATATTCAGAGAGGCTCGCATTTAGTTTCCTTTAAAGATTGTCTTTGAATCCGTTGTGTCTCACTTCTTTTACTGTGATCTTTAGCAATTCAAGCTTAGATTATCAGACTCGTGCCTAAAGATCAGATAGTAACTACCTGACTAGTACTACTACTCTGGAGATGTATGAACAAGGTCACCTAGAATGAAAGAGGAGTTTTGTAGGGGAAGAGAACAAAAACTGACAATTTGGCCTCATTCATAATGACAAGGCCACCTTATATGTTTTCTGGTGGGGCCAGGTGATGACTCCAGGACGCCCATGTTCACACACACCAGGTGGGCAGCCACAAGCTCATCAGCTCTGACCTCTGATTGCAGGGCTCTCTGCCTGTGGTCCTGGATCAGGAAGACTTGGGGCAATGTAATCATGTCCTCTGGCAACACATCCTCAGTGGTGTTCCCCCAAAGTTCCCCAAGGATGTAGCCCCAACTCAAGAGTGGATGGAAGGATAGTATGGAGAATCACAAAGAGCAGATCACATTCACCCAACAAAAACAGAAGCTGCTCTGCTTCGAAGATCCTCCTCTGGGATCGTCTCTTTGTGTTTTCTTCTCAGCTATGTTTTGCCTGAACTAATGTTCGAATCAGTTTGTGTTTCTAAAGGATATGCCCACGGTGGGGTGAGGTAGCCTAGAAGCAGTTCGACTTGTGTGCTTGTTGATTTGGGTAATTTCAGTGTCACCAGGAGGCAGACGTGTTCTTACTGCCTGGCTAAGGCCTGAAAGTTCACCTTTACCATCATCGTTGGAATCTGCTGGAATGCAGATGGATCTGAAAGGAGCTGTAACTTTATTCTTACACTTGTCATTTATTCTCTCTTGTGAATGAAGGATCTGAAAGATGATTTTATTAGGAGGATTAGGGGAAAAGAAGGTGGATGCCTACATTTATATATTTTGTGTAGTATAAACGGATGCATAGTGGTACCTAAGAGCCTTTACGTGGAGTGAAGATTTTCCAGGTTGGATAAGATGAATGGCCCTTGATGGCTCCTGGTGATCTTTCAAGTCTCAAGTCTGATGAGGTGATCTGTGCCTCATCAATGTATTGCTGTCTGCCTAACTAGTTTTGAACCTGGGTTGGGGGAATACGGTCACCGGCAGTGTCAGATTTCAGAAGGGAAAGCCGTGACTGTGGGGAAGAGGGCCAGGGGAGGAAGGTTTCCTGGAGGAGACAGGACAAGGGCAGGACCTTGAGGAAATGCGAGGGCTTGGATGGGGTGGAGGTCACGGAGTGCGACCCCTCCAAGGATGGGGCCCAAAGCAGGATCAGGAACGAGGGGCCTTACCTCACACTCATCCCCTCACTCCCAGCCTCCCTTGGGAAGAAAACAAAGCCGCTTTCTTCCTTTGTTTTCAGGCTGAAACCATTGGAGATGCATACATGGTGGCTAGCGGACTTCCCATCCGCAATGGAATCCGACATGTGGATGACATTGCCATGATGTCCTTGCACTTCCTTGGTGCCACCATCCACTTTCAGATGGGCCACATGCCCGAGGAGAAGCTGAAGCTCTGAATGGCCTCCACACAGGTAGACAGCACTAAGGGCAGGCGGCCTTGTGGCCCAGATACAGCAGCAGATGGTTCTAAATTCACACCCTAGGCCCCAGGCTTTCAGAAGCCCAGAAACCAAATGGTGATATCCTCAGGGGGAAAGAAAAGATTGAATCATCTTTGCTTGCATATTTCTACTTAGCCAGATTGCTTGGTAACAATAAGGACACACAAAGATTCCAAGGTGTTTAGCCCCAAAAAAGGAGGAGCCTCCAAATCAGAACAGTTATTTTGGGCTGCTTTTCCTCCATGCCTCACCATCAAATGCCCTTTGATCTGTTTTTATCAAACTCATGGGCCTGTGACTTGGGAATAGATGACCTGCACTTGATTAAATGCTATTCTGTCACTGTCTTGAAATTCTTGATAATTTTTGAATGGAAGATCCCTTATTGTCATTTGAGACTGGACCCTGCAAATTATGGTAGCCAGACCTTCTCCTCCCTCTCCTCCACAGCTTAACTAAAATAGACCCTGACTGCTCACCAGAATTAATCACTCCTATGTTTGTGCCACTGATGCTCTGTGTACATACCCAGTGCATGAATATCATCATTAATTTATGTCTTAGTCAGCCTGGTTGTTAAAATACCATATGTACACTGGGTGGCTTAAACTACACACATTTCTGACAGTTCTGGTGGCTGCAAAGTCTAAGCTCAAGAATTCTACCACGGTGGGTCCTACCGGTTCAAGCTTGCAGGGTGCCTTCCGGCTGCATCCTCACGTGGAAAAAGAGAGAGAACTCTGGTGTCTCTTCCTGTTCAATTCAGGGCTAAGTCATTTCAGCCATGTCTGACTTTGAGACCCCATGGACTGTAGCCCACCAGGCTCCTCTGTCCCTGGGATTCTCCAGGCAAGAATACTGGAGTGGGTTGCCATGCCTTCCTCCAAGGGATCTTCCAGACCCAGGGATCGAACCTACATCTCATGTCTCCTCCATTGGCAGGCAGGTTCTTCACCAGTCGTGCCACCTGGGAAGCCCCCTTCCTCTTCTAACAAGGGCACTAATCCCATCAAAAGAGCCCCACACTCATGACCTCCTCTAATTACCAGCTAAAGGCCCCACTTCCTAATGCCACTGTATTGAGTTTAGAGATTCAGTATGTGAACATGAGGGGGGGAGGGCACACAAACATTCAACCCATAACAACTGATTATGTTGCTTTCCATTCAGAGTCTGTGAATTCCATAGTATGCCTCACTGTAAACCTTGAAATCTGTTGCCAAACTTTGCCCCGAGAGAGTCCTTGACAACATTTGTTGACTGGATGTTCATTGTGGAGCTGACACTGGGGAAATTGCGGACTGGCCGTGCCCCTCTGTCCTTGGCTTTGCAGGTCCCGTGGTGGCTGGCGTGGTGGAAATCACCATGCCCAGATGCTGCCTGTTTGGAGACACCGTGAACATGGCATCCAGAAGGGAAAGCGGCAGTTTGCGTGGGATTGTTTCCAGCACTTTGCAAACACGAGCTCGCTGTCCCTCTGGTCCCCTATCTTTAACCAGAGAGTATTTTCAGAAGACCATTTGCATTTTGTCTACTCTTTCCCATCTGAAGGATAAGATCATTATCCATTTTAGACAAAACTGGTTGCCAGCTTTGTAGATAAGGCTTTGCACTGAGCTCTTGACGGAGCCCTGTAAACACACGTGACAGCGCCTTCTAAGACTTTCCATCCTCAACAGTCAGGTACACATAGGGTAAGATCATTTAAATCAGGAGTAGGAGTTGGCAGACTTTCTGAGCAGGACCAGAGAGTAAGTATTTTAGGCTTTGCAGGCCATAATCTCTGTTGCAGCTGCGTAACTGCTGTTGTCAATGCAGAAGCAGCAGTTTGCAACCTATAAATGTTGGGTGTGTTTATATTCCAATAAAACTATTTGCAAACACAGGTGGTGGGCCGAATTTGGCCTGTCAGTAGCAATGTGCCAAACTTGATGTATAGTTTTGGTGATACCAAAGAAATCTATGGCCAGGAACTCCGGTGAGCATCAAATTCTTTTGCTTTAGAGTAGTTTTATTGCACTGATTATTGCTGGACATATATATGCCATTTATTGACTGAGACATTAATCAACTGGAAAAATTAATTATTCAGTGATTTAAATATTAAAAAATTTAGATTAACATAATTTGTAAATCTTTCACAGCACATAAGACACACACAAAAAGACAAAAAGTCTTTTCCCCTCTGATTAACTTTGTTGTCTTAGTTACTTAAGTGAGTTCCCAAATCCAGATTTAAACCACTGTCTTATCTTGTAAGTTAAGAGTTCAAGGATAAAATATGAAATTGGAAGTGCTGATGTAGGCTCCAAGCCTGACTTTTGTTGCAGTTCAAGTTACAAAAGACCTTTTTAGTGGTACATCTCAGTTGTGGTACTGTCCCAGGGAGCCCGAGGAGCCCAGCTGAACTCCATCCATCAGGAACACCAACTTGCATATAGAGTCAGTTCTGTCTTATTTCTAGGCTGAACCTATTAAAGCTTGAGCAACACCTAGCAGCGTGTAAGCAATGCCTGTACGATTGGGGGTCCCAGCCCAGGTGTCCCAGATGTGGGGATGCTGTCTGTGATTCACTTAATGAGAGGTGCTGGCGGTCCCAGAATTTGAGCCAAGTGTGAGGCGTTCCCTCAGCCTTTGCTCTGCCTTTGACATCCATAGTAAATTCACAACCATGGTGATGACTAGACTCTATCTGGTTTCTGGCAGCTCTCCAGATCCAGGTCTCTCAGAGCACTGCAGTCATCCTGCTGGCGTTGGGAGGGTACGCTTTGCAAAAGAGAGGCACCATTCCAGTCAAGGTAAGACCAGGGCCACTGTGAACGCCCGTCCCCACTTGGGTCCCGGAAGGAGATGTCAAGGAACTTGATGGAATGAGTGCGTCTCCATGCCGTGGTTCATGGAGATCACTGAGGTTCACATAGAGCTCTTGTGCCTGCCAGTTGTCTTCCTCCAGAGAGGGCTGTATAGTTGCCTCGATGGTCAGACATGGAATCTGTGACCTTGGCTCCCACCTAGACTAACCTCTGTGCAACACCTCCTTCCTCTTTGCCGCACTGGCCTCCTGGCTTCTGCTTGAACACCCCAGAATGAAGTAGTCTCCCACATAAAGCAACAGCAAATACAACCCGGGAATAATCATGCCCACCTTCTTCTATTTCCCTTCTCCGGAGTCTAAAGTGCCCAGGTGGAGGGGATGGAAGCCCACTGGTCTGGGGGCACTTAGACCTCATCGCATCTCTACACATTTCAGTATCTCTTCCCTTTCCCTCTGTCTTTCTCCCAGTCCATCACTGAAATGTACCATGAAACCTCCTCGTCTTTTTGATAAACCTTGCGTTTCTTTGGGTGGTGGTACTTCTCACATCTTGGGGATGTTCGCAGTGGGGGTGGTGAGTGGTTACTAGGACTTTGGGAGCTTGAGTGAGTGTCAGGGTCTAGGGAAGGAAGTGAAGTGGAGGGGGCAGGGTACCTTCATGTCCTCAGTTTACTAAGCCTGGCTCTGGCGTCATCTAATGTCAGGTAAGAGGAAGCTTTTTTAGATGGCAGCAGTGTAGACCTAGCTATGAATCCTGTCCCCACTAGTCTGATTTGGGGGCTTGGTTTTATTATCTGTAAAATGGGAACAGTGATAAGACTGCCCTCTCAGGGTGGTTGTGAGTGTTAATCGTGAACCTGTAAGTGAGGTGTTTCACCTGGTGCCCTACTCACGGTAAGAGCTCAACAGATTTTATTATGACTTTAAAAGATTTTCTTTGCAGCAGACTTAGACTCCACTGGCCCTCACCCCCTAGGCCATCTGCTGAGTGTCCATTTGGGCTTATCAGCCTAGTCCAAGGACATGCTCACGATTTCATCGGTGATGAAGCGTCTCCCTTACCGAGGCAGCTCCTGCCTGGTTGCAGTTTGGGCCACAGACATGATTCTCAGAAGGAAGCCAGCAAGGGCAACCCGAGTTGTCTGCTGAGAGACCACACTTGACAGGCAGCCTCTCCTGCTCTGAGATTCACCAGCTCTCCTTGACTTCCCACAGGGCAAAGGAGAACAAACCAAGTTCTGGCTGAAGGGCAAAGAAGACTTCACTATTCCACTCCCCGAATTTGCTGAGGAAGAAGCTGAAGTCCCAGAGATCTTCTGAGGTGAGGATTTTCTTCAGAGGTGTTTGTGGGGTCCTAGGAAAGTCTGTGGGGGTGCCTTAAATATCCCATTTAGGGGTTGTGGTTAAGGTGGCCCAGTAGTTAAGAACCCACCTACCAATGCGGGAGATGAGGGCTTGATCCCTGGGTCGGGAAGATCTCCTGGAGAAAGATATGGCAACCCACTCCAGTGTTCTGCCTGGAGAATCCCATGAACAGAGGAACCTGGTGGGCTACCGTCCATCAGGTCGCAGAGTCAGACATGACCGAGCCGCGGAGCACACACCTATGGTTCCAGGGTGTTGAGTCAGTCTCCCACTAGGGGGCGCCATCTAGCTGGCCTCAGCACACCCTGGAGTCCTGTTCAGTTCAGTTCAGTTCTGTTGCTCAGAGTTCAGCTCTGCGACCCCATGGACTGCAGCATGCCAGGCCTCCCTGTCCATCACCAACTCCTGGAGCCTACTCAAACTCATGTCCATTGAGTCAGTGATGCCATCCAACCATCTCATCCTCTGTCGTCCCCTTCTCCTCCTGCCTTCAATCCTTCCCATCATCAGGGTCTTTTCCAATGAGTCAGTTCTTCACTTCAGGTGGCCAAAGTATTGGAGTTTCAGCTTCAGCATCAGTCTTTCCAATGAATATTCAGGACTAATCTCCTTTAGGATGGACTGGTTGGATTTCCTTGCAGTCCAAGGGACTCTCAAGAGTCTTCTGCAACACCACAGTTCAAAAGAATTGATTCTTTAGCACTCAGCCTTCTTTATAGTCCAACTCTCACATCCATACATGGATTGGAAAAACCATAGCTTTGACTAGACGGACCTTTGTTGGCAAAGTAATGTCTCTGCTTTTTAATACAGAGTCCTGTGGCCTGGTGCAAACCTGGAGTTTGATGAACTGGATACAGTGAACTCATTTCCTGGGGGACCAGGGCTGCTGCTCCCAGACCTGCCAGTGAGCCTGCCTCCCTGCCAGAAGTTTCCAGCCCATTAACTTGCAAATTGGCAGTGAATCCAACTTCATTCTGGGGAAGGGGAAAGCTGGAGAATGAAGCCTGGGGCCAGGAACCTGCCTCCCTTTGCAAAGTGCCTGCTCCCTAATCTCTAGTGTTTATTATCCTTATCGGCTAATCAGACTGCAGGGACGTAGAAGCCCACAGCTGAAGGCATCTCAGGAATGTTTTCTAGGCTGAAGCTCTGAGGTGTGAATCACTGAAATCCAGCAGAATTAGGCCACGCTGGGCAGGCAGAACTCCCGCACTCTGGCTGGAAGGCCTGGCTTCACTTCCTGTGAGCACTACGCCTTCCAAATGCATAATATCCTGTTCTCAATTTATTGTTTAATTTCTTTCCTATCCACTGAGCAAAGGACAGAAATGAGGCTTGAATTTTAAGTAGGATTTTAAAAATTCATTTATGAAGTATTTAATTTTTTAATCTCCAGAAGAAAAGGTGAACCCATCGATTCTGCCATGAGTAATTCCCCCTTTACAAAAAGAATGGGGTCCCATGTTGTTTTTGTGGGTTTTGCAATAGATCTACTGAACCACTGATGCAATTACAGTATTTTTTTTTAATTCCGTGAAACTCCTCGCATCCAGATTATCTTCCATGTGGCTGCTGCTGAAAATGGCAGAGCAACTTGAATGATGTGTCCTCTTTGAGCCTTTTTCTATTGAATTTCCAGGACTGAAGATGTGAAAACCGAAAAGGAATGTTTTCTTTTTCACTTGACCTCAGAGTGGCCTTTGTGGAGATATTTCTGAGCTCTGTATAGGTCTTTTTGATGGGATGGGAGCATTTAATACCAAATTTGACAAAAGGTTTGGTGGAATTCCTGCCTTTCTGCAGGAAGAGGGATACTATCTAGGCACTGAGGGAAGAGCTTTACAAACAGTAACCCAGCTCCTCTGAGTGCCTGAGCATTCCCATCAGCAGGACTCTTCTGCCCAGAGGTGAGCAGTTGACTTCTAGGACCTTCACAGATGCCACAATTCCATTTTCATTGTGGTGGGCTCTGCTCCTCTCCAAAGCCCTTCAGCATCAAGCTCTTGACTGATGCTTAAAAGGAGAGAGGAAGAGGCATTTATATGCAGGAAACATAGAGCTATCTCGGCATGGAGACTGTGGGCCAAAAATCGTCTCCTCACGCCTTATACCTTCTTCCCTTGCTTGGGATCAGCGCTTCTGAGTGCTCGCATTTTGTTCCATCAGGAAATCAAACAAGGCAGCTTCTGCTATGGAGTCTGTCAGAGACATTGGCCAGTTCTCATCCATCCATCCATCCATTCATGTATCCACCTATTCATCTACCCATGTATCTATCCATCCTTATGCACATTTCATTAATTCAAAGAGCATTTATTGAGTACTTACTCTGTGTCAGATACCACACTGGGAGACACAAGAAAAAGTGAAATGTTCCATGATCTTTAGCTCTCAGTTTACTGGGGAAGACGAAGCATACCAGTGATGCAATGTATTAAGGACTAATAGAGGTATGTGCCAAAGAGTGGAAGTAACTGAGAAACCCAATATTGGTACATTGAAAGAGAATCAGAAAATGATACACAGATGTAGGGATGGGTGGGATGTGATCATCGACTATTATTGTCCAGTCTTTGTATTTGTGTCAAGTGTGGGTATTTGTTCCCTTCCAGCCCTAGCCAACAAGCTTACACAGTTAGGTTCATATAGTAGAGACTTTGTTACTTCTGCCTTTTCCATCAAACATTATGGCATGTACATTTGGCCAATCACACACATGCCCATAAACATATATATATACACACATGTGCCTACATATACATATTCACACACATTCACATATATACATACACATGCACACACATAGACTCATATATATACATATGTTGAATATATACATACATCTCTCTCTATATATCTCTCTATAGCTATAGGTATAGCTGTATCTATCAGTTGACCAATAGGTAGAGATTTCTGTGCATGTGTACACTCAGTATATATACATGTGTGTGTATATGTCCATGTCTCTATATATATCCTTTGAATTACTCAAGTTAAGAGAGAGAGATGTCTTTAGCACACATAACCAGGAATTTCGATAAGAGCAATTTCCTAAAATCTGTATCCAGGTTGTTTCTATATCAACCAAGGATGCCTAAAAGGGAAATTATTATTTCCTCCTTCTCTCAATGTCCATTTTTTGCTCAGCACTAACGGGAATTTGCAAGAGAATGTTTGGAGAGTAGCTTTCTCTTAGTGATAGAGAAGTTGAGAGACATGAAACATACAACCAAATATCACAGACCTGTTAACTTCAAGTCTAAACATATGCAGTTGCTGCTGAGACATGATGGCCTTAGAGACAGCAATGGCCACAAAAGCTTATCCCCCAAACACTCATCATGTGAAATGGCTCCACCTCCTTGCACAGAAACCCAATATTGGAATTTTTGAAATGCAAATGTAGGATAAAATGATTGAACACCAGTGGAATATATGAGAATCTAAGGAGTTCTAGTTGTAGAAACCCCTGAATGGATTGAAGAATTGGCTATCAACATGATATATTAACACTGTAAGCTATAGTCATTGCTTATTTACTTTAAGACATTTTATTTATTCCGTAGCACCACAAAGAGATACAAGATCATTAGACATTATGATAAAACAAAGCTAAACTACCACAACATTGTTTTACTCTGACAGCCAAGGATTTGTGATTATGGCTGTGAGTATGCTATTAAAGAGTTTTTTATTAGAACCGATAAAATATATCTTCTGTCCTTTTGAAGTAAAGGCTAGCTACAAAAATTCTGAACTTATAGGAAGAAGAGATCCCAAATGGTTGGAGTACCAGTTTTGAGACCAGTTTCGACTACATCGACTTATTTTAATGTAACCTATTGCTAAATACGCACTCTGTGTCTCCAGATTTTAGAATTAGCTTAATTTCTGAGTTCATTAACACCATTTAAAAGAACCATCAAACTATAGATCTTAAAACTTCTCAAATACATTAAATGCAGAGATACAAGCTGACATGTTTTCCAACAATAAGCCCAAATCTATACAAGACAAAGAACAGAATTTAAATCTCAGGCTTTTCCAATGACATCCCAGCTGCTAGCCTCAAACTGGGGTCCTCAATATATTTTCTGGGATATGCCAATTCTCTACCAGGACAACTTCTTTGAGTTTTTCTTTGTTTGACCATATAAATCATTCCTCTCGATGTTTTCTGGGTCACTGGAGTGGCAGTGCTCTCAGCATCAGACACCATATGGTTTCACTGGCCATTTGTTTTCATTTTATTTGCATTTATGTTTCCGATGTTTTGTTGGTTCTATTTGAACGATCACAGGTTAGTGAGATAAAAACAGATATGGGCTTGAATGTCGCAGTCAAGGCTAAATGAGGTCAGACCATTCTCTGAATCAAGATTTCTTAGCAGAGTGAATAAAAATAGTGAGAGCCTTGGGCATCACAAGGCATAGTAGGATGGGATTGCCAAGCTGCAGAGAACCTGTCACAGTAGTCCCTCTGAGGCATGTTGCAAGCAGCAGTTTCGTTCAGGCAATGCTGTATTATCACGTGAAATTAATGCTAATGTTTTATTCTTTTTGCAGCTTGAGTCCTATTCATTCGTCATTTTCTTCTCATCTTAAAAGTCAGCTACAAACATAGTGAGTGTCTACCTACATAATGTTTATACATATTTTAAAGCTTTACAGTAAAAAAAAATTAGGTTAGCACTCATGGGGATTTCTCAAGAATCATTTTCCTTCATACTGTTCAGTTTGGAGCAAAATAAACGTTTCTGTTCTGATTTCCACATCATCACTTGAAAGATTAGAACCCCTGCCTCGTGGGTCAACCCTGGTCCTTAGATAGGAATTGCACAGCCTCGATGACAAAGGCCCCTTCGGCAGAGTTGGCTGTTTCTGTGTGTTCTGTCCCCAGTGCTGACTTTGTGCTTATTCTCTACCGTCTCCTCAAAATGTTCAGCTGTGCTTGGTTGCTACTCTCTTAAAATTAGAATAACTTTCAAAGGAGTCCACTGCAGCCCCGACTTGAATCTGGGGAAAGGAGACTCCCCTGCCAGCTGCAGGGGAGAGACGGCAGAACTTAAGAGCCACAGGAAGTCATAGGAGGAAGTGGGGCACCAAAGGAAAAACAATCAGTAAAATTCACAAAGATCACCGGAACACATATTTGGCAAAGCGCTATTCTCTGCTCCCCAACGATATGGTCTTCTGTTTGTTCTTTTTGGCAGCGCAATAAATGTGGGTTTGTCATTGACAGAGGAGATGGTCTTCGTGGCGGAGCTGCAGCTGCCTGCCCAGCTCTCCCTTATAACACAGCGCAAACCCCCAGCATCACGATGAGGTGATAGAGCACATCTGTGGACCAGACAGGAGAGGAGACAGAAACAGTTCCGCAAGGAGCAAGGAGAACTCAGCAAAAGCGTCAACATCAAAGAGTCCACTCAAGGGTGTTGAGTGGGTTTTCACAAAGCTCTGCATGTTTTGTTCGTAGTCAGATTGTTTCATCCTCCTGGCTTTCCATAGCTCACCTTCATCAGTGCAAGAACCCAACAGAGGAAGCTCAGGACATGGAACTCTGACAAATGGGAACCTGAACTTAAATAATATAGTGATGCTGCTTTTCACTGTATGATGTTAGCTGTAGAACTTCCTTTAAGAATGAGAATCTGAGTATCATAAGGAATTGGTTTGCATGATTTCCTGTAATTGTGAGAGCAAAGCCTACATCTGTGAGTTTACGAATAAATAGAACTGTCCTGCCCATCTTCTCGCATAGCTACCTCCTCCTCCTCATTTGATGAGATCTTCTCCCAAGAGGTTTCTTGGGCTGCTGTCTAAATCACTATTCAGCTCCCACCCACCCCACTTCACACATATCAGGAAGGGCAGGAGCCCTGTTTGCTTTGTTCACTGTGATAGTCACACCACCTAGAAGAGTGCCTGGCACAGAGTCAGTAATTATGGTTGATATTTACTGGATGTTTGCTGCATGCTGAGCATTGGTTAGGGCTCTTAGCTGTAATAGTTAATCCACACAACAACTTCTGTGTATGAGATGGGCAATAATTAACCCAGCTTCAGAGAGGAAACTGGGGGATGCACGGGTGAGGTAATGGCTCAAGGTCACTCAGTTCATGACAGCAGGGACAGAAGGGACTAGAAATATTTGTTGAATGAACAGATCATTGAAAACTCAAGCTCTCCAAATGCAGAAACCCCAAAGAAACCACCTGGTGATATCTTTGCTCAGGCTTGGTGGGGCTGGGGGTAGGGATCCCATTCTGCTTCATCCAACTTGCCCCCAGCTCCTCCCTCCCTTCCAAGCTCAGGGGCTGGTTGGAGAGAGACCTCTACCTCCAGTCCCCCTCCACCTCATTCAGATGTGCTTTAAAGTATACCTTTTAATTCTTAAGGGACCAAAGGTAAGCTTCTTTTAAAACACACAGGAATTTGCTGTATGGCTCAGGAAATTCAAACAGGGTCTCCATCAATCTAGAGGGGCGGCATGGGGAGGGATATGGGAGGGAGATTCAAAAGGGAGGGGATATATGTATACCTATGGCTGATTCATTTTGAGGTTTGACAGGAAACAGCAAAATTCTGTAAAGCAATTATGCTTCAATAAAAAGTACATTAATTAAAAAAACACATGCATGCTAAGTTGCTTCAATCATGTCTGACTCTTGGCAACTCTACGGACTATTGCCTGCCAGGCTCCTCTGTCGAGGCAAGATTACTGGAATGGATTGCCATGCCCTCCTCCAGGGGATCTTTCTGATCCAGGGATCGAATCCTGCATTGGCAGGTGGGTTCTCTACCACTAGCGTCACTTGGGAAGCCCCTTTGAAACACACTTCTGCCTGTTAAAAACATTGCATGGAGTTCTTTTCCTTACCTGAGAAGCTATAGAGACCAGAGGATCCCCTGCCTGTAGTGAGTAAAGAGAAAATGCAGAAGCTTTAAGAAAATATCACAGAGGGAGCAGCTTTGTTCCTAAAACACAAACCTGACTGATTTTCCCCTGATTAAACCAACCGACTCCCCATTGCCTTTAGGACAAAATTTCTAGCGGGCTTGACAAGGCTTCATCTCACCATTCTCTTCTCAGCTCTCTATAGCAGGGCTTGGTAAACTTTCTGGAAAGGGCAGGTGATAGTAAATATTTTCAGCTTCACAGACCACATGGTCTCTATTGCAACCACTTGAGGTGATTGAAAGCAGGTGGAGACAATCCCTAAATGAACCAGTGTGGCCATGTTCCAATAAAACTTTCTGAAGAAACACTGAAATTTGAATTTTATATAATTTTTGAGTGTTATGAAATACTGTTTTGATTTTTCTCAACCACATAAAAAGGAAAAACCATTCTTAGCTTGCAGATCATACAAAATCAGGCAGTGACTGGGTTTGGGTTCCTGGTTAGAGTTTGGTGACTCCAGCCTGGTCACAGGCTTGCCCACCCTTGATGTCACAGCCACCTTGAGGGCCAGACTTCAAGACAAACCACAGAGGTCTTCCCTAAGCCTGACTAGGTTGAATTGCCCACCTGTCCATTCCCATAGTCCCTGCCTCCCCCACCATGACGAACAGTCATCTCCCTTTCCCTTAGCATTTAGCATCTTTCTCTTTGCTGGATGGTACATTCTAGAAGACAAGACCCATATGGGGCTCCTTTATTTCTGAAACCCCAGCACCAACCCAGGCCAAGCTCACTCCTTTACTGGTTTGTTGACTTGCCCTGGATGCCCCAGTAGCTTCGTTTTCTATTATTATTGCTTGCACACCGTGTCTGGCAGTTCAGCATTTCATAGTTCCTGGGGGGCATTGGAATTTCAGCCACAGGCCCAACTTTTTAGGGTAATTAACAAACCTCCCCACTGCCCCCAGGTGGGGAGACTCGTTGCGGGTAAAGGTTGTGTCTACAGGCACAACTGGTTTGGCAATTCAGTGAAAATGCTCAAACTGGCCGTGCCTGTGGACATAGCCCGACATGAAGGCAACCATTTGGAAAACAGAGAAGCTTACTACGGAGGGAGAGCTCCACCACCAGCACGCCTCCGGTCTGGTCCCGGAGGAGGCGTTTCCGCTTGTCACAAGTCTGCAGACCCAGCAGAAGCCAAGGGGAGGGGAGGGTGGAGGTGGGATGAGAAACACAGGAGAGAAAAGAGATTTTTTTTTTTCCCCCCAAAGTCACAAACTTGATGGAGTCAAAATTCCCCAGACCTCAGATACTAAGTTCCCTTATTCTTTTATAAACAAGAGAGAGGTGTATTTCATCCCTTCTCTGACTTGAAAAAAAGGAAGAAATCTTTTCATCATGAGCTCTTCAAACTGGAACAAATCCACATACATGTGGTGGGAACTGATACTGTTTCTTTTGATGAGAAGCAAGACTTTTGCCCACATTTCCTACGGTCAGAGTGGTTTGAGATGTGGATACCTGAAAAATGTGTTCTGGTTCGTTTTCGCTCTTTAAGGGTAATACCAGTGATGATCCTTCCAGGAACAGTTAAATGTTTCTCTACTGCCTTCCCTTTATCTATTTGTGCACATAAGTGAGTACTGTTTGGCCAAATAGGAATCAATAGAAATAATCGTCTTATTTCTGTTGGTTACTACAGGTGAGCAGGTACCCTCTTCAGAAACACTGTGTCCCTCCTCACTGAGGACTCTGGTCCAAACAGACTGAAGGAGGTGACAGTTTGGAATTAAGCGCTTTGAGATCTTTAAAGCAGTGGCTTTCAAACTGGAGCACGCCTCAGAATTACCCGAAGAGCTTGCTAAAGCACAGATGGCTGGGCCCACCCAGAGTGTCTGAATCAGGTAGATCTGGGGTAGGGGGATGAGAATTTGCATCTTCACCTAACAAGTTCCCAAGTGATGCTGAAGCTGCATGGACCACACTTTGGGACGACTGCTCTAAGGACCAGGTTCCACCAGGTCCCAACGGAAAACTATCTCCCACCTGAATTCACTCTGCATATTGATTGATCTTGCAGCAACTTTTTGGGGGAGAAGCAGAAGGGAAACTGACCACCCTGCATGAGCTACTCTAAGTGTGTCTGGGAAGCTGGGCCCTTTCTCTTGGGTGATCAGAACAACTATGATTTCATGTGGGAATTCCTACAGCATCTCTCTGGTCCATCACAAGTCCCAGAGATGGACCCTCAGGCTGGTAAGTCAAAGAGCTGAAAGTACCTTTGCCTTCCATCCAGAGCTTACTGCTATCACCTGGATTTTGAATTTCCCTTATCCTTTTACCTTTTCCAAAGCATTTCCACGTCTGTTATTGCTTTCATTTTCCCTAACCCTGCTCTCTAAAGAGAAGGGCCCCTATTACTCATCACCACTCTATCTTTAAAGATGGGAAAACCAGGCTCAGGTGTTAAATGACATGGGCCAGACCATGGAGCTTGTTGGTGGCAGGCCAGAACCGCCTGGGACATCTGCTCCCACCCTCAGCATCCTTTCCTCCAGAATGTCCTCAGCACACACCTACAGGGTCTAGTGATAATTTCCCAGCTTAAAAAAAAAATACAGCTTCTCAAACACTGCTCTCCCCACCCCCAGGCTCAGGTAACACTCTCGTTCCGGGAGGGGTGGCTTACCACTGGGCAGGAGAGCTTCTCACTGTCACAGATGAACGTCTCACAGTGTAACCACACCTTGGACAGTTTGGGGATGTTCTGGAACCGGAAGGCGTTGAATTGGAAGGTTGCCCTGTGGTCTTTCCCGTTCTCATGCACGAGGACGGTTTCATCCGTGGGGCAGCTGGAGCACATGGGGTTGGGGGAGGGAAGTGGGGGAGACAAGGTCACCTCATGAACTCCAGCAAGAGTGTCTGAGGCAAAGTCACACATAGCCTCTTCTGGGCCGTTACACAGCATGCTATCCTTTTGAAGCACTTTGACTTGTGGCATCTCACTTATCTTTGTTTCTCTGGGGTCTCTTTGAGGAGCTATGAGATGGCTGTGGTCATCCCTATTCTACAGAATACAGCCAGGGTGAAACAACTTTTGAGAAGCTGCACATCTGGTAAGCCATCACATCTCTGTCCCAAAGTAATGAAACCCCCATGATAGTGTCCTTGGAGGACTGGACTATGTCCAGACTCTCAGCATGTGTCCAAAATAGAGATGGTGGTGCTAGGAGCAGCATTTCCCAGCCTGCCGCCACAGCCTCCTCTGTCCAGGTCACACCCAACATGTTGCTGTGTGTATATTATGAGGTTTTTGCCACTGGGAATTTGAATTTACATTATATTACTTAAGTTTTATGTCCATTCTATTATACGTAACTACTTTGGTAAAAAAGTGATATTTTTAATACGCACACAGAAAAATGACTCAAAAGATACCACCTAAATGTTAATCCTGGCTATTATGGACAGTTTTTGCTTTTTTTCTTTTACCTTTATGGGTTTTTTTTTTTTTTTCTAAATTCTCTCTAAGGAGAAGTACTCTTGGGAAATTTCAAGTTCCAAAAGTACAATTGCAGTAAAAGAAAAAAAATGATCACATAGATGGACATGGGTTGAAACCCATTGTTCTCACCTGGGGGCCATTTGGCATGTGGTTGTCATGACTCGGGGGGCAGGGGAATGCTCCTGGCGTCTAAAGGGTAGAGCTCAGGGATGCTACAGAACGTCTTGGAGGGCACAGGACAGACCCCACAACAAAGACTGATCCAGCCCAAAAAGTCCATGGTGTCGAGATTGGGAAACCCTGGTCTATGGCCATACCACCCTGAACATGCCCGATCTCGATCTTGTCTGATCTCAGAAGCTAAGCAGGGTCGGGCCTGGTTAGTACTTGGATGGGAGATTGGGAAACCCTGGTTTAAGCACAATAATAGCACATATGGATTCTCTACGTAAGTGCCAGACATTCAACCAGGTGTTTGGAAGAGACAGAGTGTTTCTTGGGAATATACAAGGAGGCCCACAGAGTGTGGGGTCTTGCATACAGGTGATGGTGAGCATCAGGATCTGTCCTCTATGGAACAAAGGTCTATGGGTTCAAGAGCTCAAGACCAGTGAACAGCCCCACTTGGATCCCAAAGTTCATGCCTCTCCTGGCGTGTCCCTCTGACTCTACTGTCGTTCCAACTTAAGACATACAACAGAGAGCAGAGCAACCACCCCAGGGAACATTCATGGTGGACCCTCCCCTGCTCCCTCTATCAGAATCAGACATTAGGGGCCAAATTAGAGGTAGGACAGAAGGGATGTTAACTCTGAGAGTCAGTGAGTGAAATGAGGCATGAACACTGCACCTTTTATCTGACCAAGGGCGGAAGCGGGGTTCTGTCGGTGGAGGCCTCTGAGCAGTGACAGAGCTGGGGGCATTTTCCGAGCTGTGAAACAAGACTCTTGAAGGATCATTCAGTCAATAAACCTGAGATCCTCGTACGAATTCAAGACTAAGCTTAAAATAGATCCTTGCTGCTGGAGTGTCCAAGGCCTGGTGTCAGCCAGTGGA